CACAAGTCTTTTTCTCTCAATCGATGATTTAAAGACTAATTTTGCTAGTCGTTTCATAGTCTAATGTTCTCATATACTGAATTTATAAGTAAAACTTGTATCCTTCATTAATGATATTGTTTTATACCCCATCGTTGATAAAGTTTTCAAAATATTTTATATAATAATTTTGGTAGACGAAGATATTTTACAACCCTTTCTTCCATCGATATGCTTTGTTAATTCTTTTTCGTTTATTATGTATCAAGATTGTTATATTGCTTGTATGTCATTTTGTCAGCCATTAACAACGTAGAACTTCGTACGTACGTACATCAGTTCAAGTTGCCATACCACATTAGCACAGAGATGCAGTTGTCAATTCAAATCCCATGATGGTCGAGGTAGTAAATGCATAAGCAGTAATCGGAAAGACTAGGGTTTCAAAATGTTATTCAAGGAGTATAATCCAGTGAAATAAATTTGGAAAGAGAAAAAAGGGACATGAAGAATTCAGAAGATTAGAATTTAAGAGAACAAAAAGAGTGGATGCACTTGCACTATCGCAAACGATTTTCAGTCATATCATTCAAGGTCTCTAATCATCGGTTGCTATTGTCTCGCGGATCCTAACCAGGTAGTCTACACCTAATAATATGGCTCAGTCCACTTGTCAGTGACTTCATGGACTTGTGCCATATTTTGATCTGGCCGTCCCTAGCTTTCTCCCAACCTACTTCTACATCACTGAACATCGCACTTCGAGGCAGTCGGTGGTTGAGCATACGTAACACGTCTCCCAGACATCTCAACTGATGAAGTTTCACTACTTACCTAGTACCCGTTTCCTAACAACTGCATTACTTACTCGGTGGTCCCAGGACACACGAGCGATATTTCGAAGACACCTATGATCGAACGATAGTAACCTGCGAATATACTCTACTCTTACCGGCAATGTTTCACTGCCACAAATGATGCAAGTTGGCAAAAGCTAGTCGAGCCTTCTGTATCCGTGCTGAGATTTTGTCACACACCAGACCACAAGGGCTGATGAAACTCCCATGATAAGTGAAGTGGTCGACACGCTCAACTACTCCACTCCCTAACATTAGTACGGGTGTCGATGCGACCCAATCCTGAAGCAACATTTTACATTTCGAAGGCGAGAATGGCATCCCGAACATGCTTGTATGCATCTGGAAGAGGTATTCAAAGTAGAATGCGTTCATCCTATTCTTTGAATTTATTTGAAGTCTAATTTCAACTCGAAATTTTACTTTTAGAAATTACCGATTTTTTAAAGATCAAACCGACAAATCTTAATGATAACTTTCTTAGACGATATCTCAGAAAGAGCTATAGTGCAAGCACTTTTGAATGACCACGACTACCTAGTATACCATAGTCTTCAGATTGCTGTGACACACCTGCAATATTATCCCTTGAACTCTTGACAACCATTAATACCATAAAAAAGTTTCAAATGGTGAGACGAAGTTGTCTCAACAATTTAATTTAGGCACATCTCAAGTTAAACGACTAGTAAGCACACAGTGAGAAAGATATATTAATGAATATCATTTAACCAAATATATATTCAAGTTTATACGAATGAGTCATCAAGTAATAAGTAATTAACATTTGAGCGAGTATGAGCAATAAATGCGTAGGTTGCCAACTACACATACTCATCTGTACAATCGGGAAGATACATATATATGAAAATATGAGCAAATTATTCAGACTAAAATATTAATTGATGAACATAATAAATACGAATATATACGACCAGCTTGTGATAAACTCGACATTATCAAGTCATCTAGGTGTATCGTAGTCAGTAAATACGGTCATGTTTTCATTCATACAGTCATTCAGTTGTAGATATTTAGGAATGATTTCAAGTACAAAATTAATTGGAAGTATGACTATTGCCGTGTTGTGATTTTTCTTCCATCATGACTGAGTGAGCTGAACTTGACACGTCCGTAGCATGATAGAGTGGTATTTTCATCGTAGGGGACTTTACATTTTTCATATAAGCCAGCTAAAATGACAGAACGAAACATGTCCACCATCATGAATTAAGATAGTGTAAATAATAATTTCCATTCCATCTTGGTTGGTTGTCATGTTCAAGTTTAAAATTGTGAACAAAACTGGAGTTTATCCTAACCCGAAATTTCACTCCGAATCGGTGTAACGGGTTCTAGGAATTGGAATACAGAACTTGATGCTGAGTCGTATAAAAGTACGTTATTATATCATTACAATGTTATGCAAACCATATACTTAAAATACAACTGTATTTTTGATTTTAGACTGGACTCAGCTATCCTAATCATAACTGGTAAGTAATCTACTTTATATCATATTATGGTGGTTTGTATAACCATACATTTCTGTAATAAAGAGTAATTTTGATTTATATTCAATAATGTTCGAAGGGTAACAATATGATGTTGTGTTTTATAGCGCAGACTGAACACCCAGCTTTTTTTCCTACTAAATGACTATGTAATATAACTCGGTTTCACTGTTGTATAATAAATTTGTTTCATTGCTTAAAACACAAACTTTCTATTCGAAGTTTATTTATTAACACAGTTATTTTATAATATTTCTACGATAATAATAAGAGATAATTAATATTTTCTTGTTTTGTAAAGTACCATTCAAATAGCCCATGTGTCTACTGAAAACTATGTAAGATTATTTATACAAATATTCGTCAAGATTAGGACGAATAGTTTGACAGAAATTGGGCGCCGAGTATAAAGAAACCATTATATGTGAAAACTTTGATTATTACCCTGAAGAAGTCCAGACAAGTTAGCTGGACGAAATGTTGGAATTATTTAAATTTCAATCGCTGAGATTATTTCAAATATAATTTTCACATATAATGATATGTGAGATTATCTTGTATGGAGGAAATTGTGGAGATTACTATATCCGTAGTTTACTCTACGAATTGACTTTAGATAAAAAAAACTCTCAAAACCAAGGAACTTTGGACAGCTGTTTTGTCTTGGCACGAGACTCGTTAACATCTCGCTAGAAGCTGAACCCAAGACCCTTAGACCTCGTGACGAGCTTTTACTCCTCAGACCACTGATCCAGCATCTAGTGGTTTACATTTATAACTTCAGTCAATTAGCAGTCTTAGGCAACCATCTCCCATTGCCCTTTTGTGATATCTGTCTCATGACCGTCGTAGTTAAACTCTCTATTGGTTACATCGTCTTACTGAACTCCGGCAATTACTTTAAAGTTAGTTAGATGATTATCGTAAGTATAGAAGTGTGTGGAGATTGTTGAATACGTAGTTTACATTAGTGATGTGGAGGTACTGTGAACAAGCATCGCTGAAATTAGTTTATTGGGTTTTCTGAGTAGATATCGCTAATCATAACCGATATAGATACATTTGTCAATAAAATTTGGTAGAAACATATCGCTGATAACATTGTGTATATGGAAACATTTACAATACACACATTTTAATCTAATAAACAAATGATCAAATACTATATTGAATTATATCAATTTATAAACATTGATGACACTTTTTCGAATCAATAATGATACATAACAATGATCACCCAAATACATACTACTTTTAAGTCGAAGTATGGATACATTATTCATACTATGCCCATGCATATATTGTTTAAAATAATTTTTGTGTTTCAAGTAAACAGTTAATCTGATAAATGGATTATGCTTGTATGTATGTGTACATTCTGCAAGCATAGACTTACAATTTTGTATGGAATCAAACTACATATTTCACTTCTTCAATTGTTTGAAATTTTGATTTAATAGGCTGGTAAATTCGTTGAATATTTGTACTAAAGATTAGAATTATCATTGTTACAACTAATGATATTTATGGGTTCGAATCTCGCGGAGGGGGAGATTGTGAATGCGCACTGCTGAGGAGTCCCATGCTAGGACGAAACGGCCGTCCAGTGCTTCCAGGCTTTCCATGGTGGTCTAGCTTCAATCGACTCATGATTTCAATCAGTGAAAATGATAATAATAAATAATCATAGTAACTAAGGTATTACATCACATTACTGATACTCACTTGTTCTGCATTGAATAATTGATTTTGATCTAATACGGAATTTGTTTCAGCTAAGTAAAATAATGATAACAATTTGCTTTGTTCTTCTTGCATTTTAATATATTGATCAGATAATTTTATATTAAGAGTGAGTTTCTCACTTAAATCCTCCTGATATGATTGATATGATAATAATCAAATAGAAGAGAAGTTTTTTTTATTATTCAGTTTAATTTCTTTTTTTTAGTAAACGGAAGAAAACATTTCAAATTAATGAATAAGTAAGAAAAAAAACAGTCTTCCAACTTTTCATGAAGATGGATCTTCCACTATAAATCAGTGTTATCGAGTAAACTATAGCACTTAAAGTTTATAAATGTTTCGTGTTTTTCTTTATATACATGATTAAATTAGGGGTTTAGTTAATAACTTTTGAATTATGGTTGGAGTAGAAATAAAGTAAACGTAAATTCACTGAGTTTTATTAAGGAATATTATTAGTTGTTCAAAAAATTTAAACGGTTTACTATTGCACCAACTTGACTTGATGCAAGAAAGTTCTAGATCATTTGAATAAATGATTTTTGGTTAATTGTAGATGCTGATCTCAAAGGATCGTTCGAATGTTGTGGAACAATGGAGTAGACAATATTGAAGTCAAACGTATGATATTTAAAGAAATTAAAAAGTCAATTACTGGGGCTTTGAATCGTTATTGTATTAAGTGTCTGGAGCATGTCTGACGTACGTTTAACCACACCCTACTTCTATGAGCAATACTTTTCGGAGCAGAACTGAAGTTGAAAGAGGATGGTTAAACTATCAGTCCATGAAATCATAGACTGTTGAGCTGCCCCTTGTCGGTATATCAAGGTATTTGTACTTTTCGTAATTTGTAATGTTCGAATTTCATTTAACGCCTTAAATTCAAGTTCTTGAATTTGATGTACGGTCCAGATTTGTTTGACACAATTACACGTTAACTTAGTATATTAGAAATATATTAAAATACAGTTCTTAATTTACTATATTAGTCGCCTTAACGGCTTTCCATCTATACCACTGAATAATTCGACCAGAGAAAATATGTATGAAATTTTCCTACTAAATCAACTCTAATCCAATATATAAAAGTTTTATATTTTTAAATAAGTGTAACCCTCACTTTTGTTTATTCTATTTAAAACACATAAATTCTGTTACAAACTTCCACATTAAAAAATGCCCTACACAAATCAAGACAAAATATCGTGTTCCTGCTGTCTTGAGTATGCTAAAATAGCTTCCGGCAGTTATTAGACGTACTTACTGCCGCCAAGGTGTCAACACACTACAACCACGATGTATCCCAGTCCTTACGTGAGGTTTATGAAATATCGTGAGCCAAGTACCTACGTCCATCATCAGACTCGAGTTTAACTAAAGCAGACTGACATGACCCAGGGAGTTTTAGAGAGCCTGAATTAATCCAAAGGTTATACTTGGGGTTTTTCCAAGGCACAAGCAACTTGCCATTTCTATGGCATCATGCAGATATACTCAGCGCTCGTCTAGAATTCTCAGTAAACTGATAGCTACCACCAAACCTAACCCGGTTTACTATTTGGACGTGACAGTAGGTATGGTCGGTTTGCTCATATTAACCCACTTAGAACAATAAGTTTGCTCACCCTCAAAGACCAAGATAATTTTGGCGCATACTAGGGTGTACCTGGAGTTAATATGAGTACTCCAAACGGAGCGGTAGTCTTGTACGCAATCACCTCACTGGTAGCTGGTTTCAATGTAATCAATACAAGTCCAAATTTAGATTGTGGAGCGAAAAGGCCAGGTGGCACATAGGTAATAGCTGTGTTGGAAGCTGTACAGAAAAAGGATACGGTCTCTAAATAGTTACAAGACAGAATCACCGCTATCTGATCGACGAACTGGCGTTGACCATCCGAGCTGCTGTCCTCAATGCCTAGATGCTCATCCTGGGCTTCCAACTTCTTACGTGACGATACAAAATCTATTGTACGTGCTTTCTTTAATTGGTGGCATTTTCATAAAAAACTCTACAGGTATACATCCGAAATTATAATTATAATTATAACCGAAAAATTACTAAAGCTGAACTAATCCATGTTATAAACTAAAAATGACAAGTTTATAGTCCATTTTGTTTGAGAATTAGACACAGTATTAAAGGCTTATCTGTAATTATTTTATAATGGCTTCATGTAAAAAGCATTACGATAAGTGTTCAAATGAGATAATTATGGGTAAAGCAAATTATACACCTAGTACTATGTGATATATGAAGTGTTTTGAAATCAAAGGATCTTCGATAAGTATTACCTTTAGTTTTTTCAATACTGAATCACGAGTTTTCATTAAGTTAGACAGTTGTAATTCACGTTTGGTTTGAAGTTGATTCATTTCTTCAGTTTGCCTTTTCAAAATGTTTATTTCTGAGACCAATGTTTTGTTTGTTTTAGTAAGATCAGCAATCGTACATCTAAAAATTTGAACAGTATGAGAAAAGTTTAACAAAAGGAACAAAATAATTTAAAACTAAAAGGAAGGGATCGAGTTATCCGCAACTCCCTGTTATAGATTAGTGTAGTGTAGCGTACCCGGGTTTCCCTGGTGAAAAACATAAGTAAAGGTCAACCAACCAATGATCAATGAGTGCGCAAATTTCAGTCATGATATATAGGTCAGGTACCTCAGTGGTAACGGACTTAACTCCAACATTACTTGTACAAAGGTAAATCCCGAGGAGTAGTATCGGTTTCATGATGATTTAAGACACACCTTCCTTACGAATGTCAGCTGACCCAAAACCATAAGTTTAGAGTATTTTGTAGTGTGCTTCCGATTGAATATCATAAAAAATGGACTCACAAAATATACTTAAACTGAGAAAAGACTTATAACTTATGAAACAGAATAATAATAAATTCACCTCAACTGACTTAATTTTGTGGTTCCTCGTAGTTTCACTTTCATTAATGCTAATAATGATAATCTAAGTTTATTTTGTTTCTCCTGTAGAAAATTCTTCTCATTTGTCATTCCTTCTAATCTTGTTTTTAATTCACTGAATTGTGTTTTAGATTTCAGTAGAGAATCATCTAGTGTTTGAACTTTATTACACATTGTAGAATATTCTTGATTCCATTCATTTTCAAACTTGTTGGATAAAAATTAAATAATAATAAGAAAAATTGTATGATTGATTACTATGTTTTTTTAAAAGAAAAACGGTCAATCGAAACTAAAATTCAGCTTTGGTCTTTTTTTGGGGGGGGGAGGTACTGATCGCTTAAGTCACTTCATATAGGAAGAACCTCTTAGAGATAGTAAATGGATTATTAAATTTATTTACAGTTTCAAATGCTTATATAATTATTGTTCTTCATACTGCACCAAACAAAAGACCCAATAACATTACGCAATAATACATAGAAAAACACTAAAGTATAGAGGATGGTTACATTTTTTAAACTTTGTTTGCCTACATGCGAAGTAGGAATAAAATGTTACGATCGACCTTACTCCACATTAATCTATTGAAATAGTTGTAGACATGAGTTGGACTTCGAAAATACATAGACTATATATAGATGAAATGCTTAGTATAGTCTAACATTGCACATGACACACTGATAAAACCAGAAATATTGGTATAATTATCAATTCAATAATTGGTATAAAAAAACAGATCCTTAGTATTAAATGATAGGCTTTTTCTAACCATTACTTGCGTATCATCAAGTGACTAATGATGAAGTTAGGAGTATGGTACTAGATAAATATAGTTCGTCAATTGGTGAAAATGTAAAACTTCATCATCTGAAATAGTTAGAGTACATATGATACATTTCCAAATATCCCTTCAAATCAACAAGCAATAGTGATTAACCTGAGAGTAAATGGGGAAAAAACCATGAATAGATAAACATGTTCAGAGTTCACCTAATATTTTGAATCTTTTTTTTGAATTTCTCAACTTAACTTTGAGTTTAAGGGTATTTCATGTATTTCATTAGTTTTCTTTATATTACCTGCTCTATGTTTGAGAACATTTGAGTCAATCGAGTTTAGTTTACATTCATTTGTACAATGATAACAGTATATTAATTTCTTGATTAATGTATAAACTTAAAAATGTATAAAAGAATCATTTACTTGTTTATATTCGTTTTGTATAATATTCAATTGTTCTGAATAATAATTATGATTCAATTGAATAGCTTCTAATTCTGATTTAACATTTTCATAGTTATTTTCTAATTGCTTAGCTGTTGCTTCTAATTCTAAACGTTTTTGATAACCATCTTGTTTAATTCTCTCGAATTCTGTAAGATTATTTTCTAAATCTATCATCAATTTAGATTTGATTTCACATTCCTGTTGTTTTAATTAAATGATATAACATGTATTCAACTATTAGAGATTAATTAACAAGAGAAATGTAATAAAATTTACCAAAAGTAATCGTAGGACACGAGGTGACCTTATACTGGCATTTCATATCTTTAATTATGATTTGGGTGTTAATATGTCTTATCTTTTTGCTCCCTCCAGCACTAATAATCTCCGAGGTCATAAGAAGAAGGTTCATAAACCACGATCTAATAAACTTAAAGTGGGGTCCTGTTTTTCTCATCGAGTAGTCAATGATTGGAACGCCTTACCCGAACAAGTGTTATCAGCCCCATCAGTGAATACTTTCAAGGAGAAGCTGGACCTTCACTGGAAAGCAATGTGTCGGGATTAATACAGGTTCACCAACCTACTATCCTCATTACTGAAAACTGAAGACTAATCATCTGAAAGTTAGGACTTATGAATAATCTGTTTTCTTGAATAGTGTAATTTTTCAATTGCATTCAGTTTCAGATTACTAGAATTAAAAACATTACTCAATAGAAGTGTTATGCAAGAATTTATATCTATTAAAGCCTAATGAATTCCAAAATCAAACAAGATGTATCGGTTTGAACATAATGCTCAGTGATCATCTCTTAGTTTTTCTGAGCTTGTTTGAAAAAAATTCTGACTTTCAACTGACGATTAAGTGACGATTATCAGATAATTAGCAATATAGAAGTAATCATATATGTTTATTCATGAGTTTAGTTTATTGTCTCTGAATAGTAAAAACCATTCACAATCTAGAAACAATAGTATTGTGGTGCGTGCTACTTATATTGATATAAGTAGTATATGACGCAAGTCAGGAATGTAATGTCTGGCGGCAGAAGATGGGGAAAATAAAAAAAGGAAGAGCGGGAATAGAAAGCAATTAGTATGGAAATGCAAGAACAACGAAGTTCGAGATAATTATTGAACATTTCGCAAATTAAGTATTATAGTATGGTTTTTCTATTTTACCAAGTAGCTCTGTAATTTTTTGCTAAATATAATAGGATTGTCCCCACTGGTGTTCGTGTTCACTGTAGTATCAGTATTTCGTGAATAAACTGGGAAACACAAATATCAACAAGTACTGTACTATAACAGTGATACTCATTAGGATATACTAGTTTCAATGTTGTTTACATACATTTTTCTAGTTATTTCAGAAGCTATGGAATACACTCAAAGTAACACAGTGAAGTAGATAATTTTGTTTTAATGTATTATTTATTGTACTTTGATAAAAATGAAATACACTTAGCAAATCTGTTGAATTAAAGGAAAAAGATTTATGTTAAATTACAGAAATAGGTGTATATATATTTATTTGTATACAAGTATAATATTTTGTATATGGATCAAAGTAATGAATTAAATACATGGAAATTCATTTGATACTTGTACTGTAACGAAGAGTGATTATACAAACTCTATATTTCGGCTGACAAGAAACGCCGTAACGTGTATCCAGGCATTTTTATCCACCTAATGTTAAAGAAGATGAAAATCATACTGTGAACTTCATTACCCTTACCAACCAATTATTCATTGAAGTCGCATACATAATATTGATCATATTATTTTCAAGTAAAACCGTGATAGATATATAATATACCCTTGTGGGTCAGGGTAATTTTACATTGGTTTTCAGGAGAACCGGAAACTATCCAGACTTTCACGTGACAAATTGTGTACGTTCTGACCTGGATTGGATGTAAATTTCATTTCTGGAATCTGTTTGTCTAGATTTTTCCTAAGTTTCATTCTTTTCTTTTCCTTTCTTGAGTTAACAACCATCTCCACATAGTCCAGATACTGATATCTTAATTTATCAGGGAGATCATCTACAGCATAAATTCTCTCGTTGATATTTTTCACCATCTCGGCAATGTATGAGTTTAGAGAATCGATTTGGTTAAGGGCGTGGCGTTTGAGAGTCCTTCCATTTGGTCGAACTCGAGAGCGACGTAAAGATTTCCAATACAACTTTGGAAACCTGACCTTTGCATTCAAAAGAGATTCGTACAACCATCAGTTTAAGATTTCCTTCAAAAGAACTATTTTTCATACTTCTTCCATTTTTTTTTAACTTTTGTAATTTTGTTTCTATCGCTTTTGAGCCTTATAACTTCTCAACATTCATCTCTTGATTCTTATGTAACTACTATCCTATTGACCATCCGGTAAAATTCTATTCCTTCTTTGTTTCTTATATTACTCAACATAGCAACTTCTTGATTACTTTGAATATTAATAATCCTCTTTCTTCCAATTAATCAATGTTAATTTAAATGTCATTATGTAATTATTACGTAACATATCCACTCGATGAGTATTATATTATTGTTGTAAAACATATATATATTAGTGTAGAGCCATGATGAAAATCTAATTGAAATTTCTTCGCTCAATTCGTTCCTTCTTTATTTACCAAATGGCAAAATGGGAATTTTCGTTATAAATGTAACTCTGAAATTCACGTTTATGAATGTTTATTCACGTTTCAATTTATGATTGACTCCGTCATCAAAGCTTTTGAATAATTTTAGTTGAAGCCATGGATCAACCAATGTTAGATTACCACTGAGAACTTGGGAGCACTGGAAAACCATTTTGTCCTTGTGTGGGACTCATCAGAAGTGCATAATCATGACTCTACACGTTGGACCCGAACCTAGGACCTTCGGTCTCGCATACGAACGCCTAACCCCTAGACCACTCAGCCGGGATGTAATGGTTTTAATATCTAATTTCAACTAATCCCACTTTAGGACAGAATGTTCGTCCAGTGCTTTCATGTTTCCAATGGTGGTCTAACATTGATCTCAACAAACTCCACAACGCTATACTAATAGATAATTTTAGTTCATCAAAAATTCTTAATTTGAATAATAAATGGAATTTTTCATGCTTATTTATTGTCAGCTCATCATCTGATATGTTTTACAAATCGAATTATGAAAGTTGTTTTTTAATGTTATTTTATTTATGAGAAGAAATTTTAAAAACCACATTTAAATTTGTTAGTAGTATTTTAAATCCATTTTAAAGAAATATGAAATAGCTTCAATCATGTTGAAAGATAAATTCATGAGCAAACAACGGTAACACATTTCCTATATCTTTCACAACAGCACGATCCGTTATAACTTGTGACTGCCGATTAGAGAGCAGTGACTTATCGATCGAACCAAGGACGCGAAAAACCCGCGCGAGCAGTCTAGAGTCTTGATTGACCCTGCTTTCCACATAGCCCAGACAGTTAAGTCCAGAACACCAATTCGAGCCTCTGCGATATGAATCATCATATTTCAAACATACTGAGTTTATATACCAATCAAACAGACTACAACGTACCAATAAAATATGAAACAACATTTGTGCAAGAATTAGCCAGATGTGGCTGTGAATGAGGGAGGTAGTAATTAATATACTGGGTATAACTCAGGAATGGTAAAACTTATAATAATAGTTTATGGGTCAAAATAAAGCTTATAATAAGAGGAATATGAATATGCAGAGTTTAGTTACTTAATAATTATACAATAGAAATATACGTTTAGTATTAGTTCATAAAAGGATCCCAAAGTTACCACTCATTATGTTTATCGGGACCTAACATGATCACTGTTATCCCATTTATCTTTAAAATTTAATATCGTATGAGTCATAAAATGCAGACCAATTTGTTGACCAAATCTATTTATTCACTTAATGATAATGATTTCATAAATTTTTTGAATTGCCTCGATGACTTGACAATGAAGTATCGAGAATTAGCTCATAGATTCCATTTAAATCTCTTCTCATTATGATCTGTCATGTGACTGGAATGGCAATGAGATTAGTAATATAGTAAACCATAAAAATAAATCATGTTTTAACAATGATTGTAGTGAAACTATTCCAATAACTGAAATCTTTGATGAACAAGCGAAATGAAAGCATAAGTCACGCGTCTAAACATGTTTATATGAACTTAAAAATCAGTTTGATCGTAATGCAAAGTAAGAGATCTACAAGTAAATACGTTTTTTCAGAATTTATCCTAAACAAATAAATAAATTGTTACATTTACTGACTCATCTGTATCGGAAAACATTAGCAAATAATTATACCTGCTCAACACTGATATGCAGTTTTATTAAACATGTTTAATATACATTGCTAATTAGTTTCTAATTGAGATTCAAGCTATTCTGCTGAGTATAAAGTAAGTGACTGATGTGAGCTATATAGGACTTAATATCATACTGTAAATATTCAAGTTCTTATTATTATTTACAGTATAATAGGAAAATCCAAGCAAACATGAGAAAATGTCATAATAATGATACTGGGCTTCGAATGCTTTATTCATATATTTGGATTGTGACTAGCAGTGGAATCTAGAAAACTAATTCTGTTCTTATATAAGTTTTACAGCTCATAGGAAACACATGTTTACCTCACACCTAGAACGAATCAATGACTTAACATATTGTTTCTCTCAGTTAAGCATTAATGCATCATTTATGTGTACTAGATGTGAACGAATGTATTTTGGAACATAATCTTTTCTGTATATAAAATGAATACTACTACACTTCAATTTATAACTCAGAAATATTTGCTTAACTTGGTCTGTTAGTTGATCCTAGAATGTATTAAAAACAATAGATTTTATTCATAGTAAATAAACAAAAGCCGGTGGTTGTAAGTTTTGGCAAATCTTATAGTACAATGATATTATATTAATTTCTTGTTTACCGCTTTATCATGTCGATCTGATTAAAGTAGACATTTTCAAAAAGGTATGCTATTATTCTGTATCTGATATTTTGATGATTTATTAGGCAGTATACAAGATAATAGTATACGAAAAGAATGGATATTCCACAAAGTATTAAATTCCTACTTATAAAATATATTTACCCCATAATTTGAGGATTGAATTAACAAATTTATGTGTTGTTTAATATTTTTACTACCCTACTAACTTTTACAGTATCGTCAAACCAATTAGGTCGAAAATAGTTATCATAGCTTTAAAAGAAATAGTTTGCCAACTGTTATTAGTTTCACAGAATATTTATAGAAGCAAACACTTCATTAAAGTAATTAAGGCCTTGTAATACCGTAAATATTCAAGTTCTTATTATTATTTACAGTATAATCGGAAAATCCAAGCTAAAAGGAGAAAAAATGGTAATAATGATACTGGGCTGCGAATGCTTTATTCATATAACTGTGAAACTCAGAACACCAGTTTTGTTCTTATATAGGTTTTGCAGCTCATAGGAAACACATATTTACCTCACACCTAGAACGAATCATTGTAAATAATATTGTTGAGATAGGCACATCTTATTCTATTTATACTGAAAGTCCTTACCAGGTAGGATACTTGCTTCAAATATTCTGCAATGCCACAACACAAATTATACAATCTAAAGCCTAATGAAGGATAAAGTTAGACTAACGATTCTAATTTGTTTGATATGAAATATTAATTGTAATTGTAAAGAGTATTTACTACAAAAACATACAAAAGGTATCAATATTCAAACTATAATAGCTACTATAAGCAAAGATGGATAGTGGCTAGCAGTGGAATCCAAGACGCGCGTTTCGTCCTGTTTGGGACGAGGCATACGCACAGTATGCACATATGCCAATAAGAGACTGATCAATTTCAGTCCTAAAACGTCAATGTAAAGATTCAAGTAAAACAATATCAAGTGAATTATAATAGTTACTGTCTAATAAAATCAGAAGTACCATTTTAACAGTGTAGAAATAGAAATATGAACTAAAAAGGAATCAAACGATAAGTAAGCGTTTCCGATCATTTGTATATTTCATTTATTTCATCCTGTATATTATTGGAAACATGATAAGAATAGATCATGAATTGACTTTGCAATTAATCAAACTATTTACTGTACTAAACTTTACAAGAACTCTATCAAACGAGATAGTGTCATATCAGTTAAATAATTTAAATTAATCAAATATCTGTCGAAGAGTAAAATGTATTCAGTGTAAAGTTTATTCAGTTTAGATAAACTTGTCACAATTCATTCTTACCTATGGTTCCAAAAAAAAAATTACTCATGAAATAAATCAATATATACTACTGTTTTTTTAAAAAACTTATATCAGTAATTATTGACTAACCTCTTTTATTTTGTGTTGTAAATATTTTAACATATTTTGTTTCTCATCTTGTTCTGTTCTTGTTCGAGATTTAGTTAATTCTAAATCATCTTTAACTGATGAATGTTTTAATTGTATACGATTATAATCAGTATTTGAAACTTGTAATAAATCTTGTGCAGTATGTAAACGTGATTCAAGTAATTCGATAGATTTTCTTAATTTACTTATTTCATTTTGACTGATATGTAGATTAATTATTATGTTGTAGATATGAAAGTAAAAACAAGAAAAATGATATCAAATTCAAATACAAAATAGACTGATTATACAAGTTATTAACCAAAAAAATAGCAGTAAAATATTAACAAATCGATAAGCAAATAGATGTTTAAGTAACAACTTATGAAATTTCATTTTTCAGTCAGCGGTAAGACTGTAATTTATGGACGAGCCAATCAGAGGCGTTTCAGAGAGTTCAAAGTTACAGCTCCAATTTCAGTGCTTGATGCTAACGTACGATCAGTTCACAGGGAATTTTGTACAAAAGGTGATAATTGAACGGCTACAACAAATAAAACGGCGGGACTATAATTTGTGAACGAATCAGTCAGGTATAAGATAATAGATCTCGGATTTTAACGCGAAAGCCTTTCATCCATTTGGCTAAATAAATTTCTGGCATTATAGCTGATGTCAGTTCGTGATGAAAACCCCATATATAATTCCTAACTAAGGCAAATTATAACAATTATTGCGAACTGGATAATAAAAGTACCAGTAACACTGGCTGCAGCCAGGATGTATGGAGAGCGTACAGACTCCTACATATGCTTGTTTATGTGCATCGCGTCGTTATTCCTAAGTAGCATTTTGTGCACTCAACAACCGGAATGCACATAAACAGTATTGAAGCTAGGTGGTCGGGGCTGAAAGAGTTTTTGAGACTTTATCATGGCACCAGAGGCCGACTACTCTGTAGCCATATGGACGATTTTTTCTACTGCACGCATTAGGATTTTAGAACCTCTGAACCTCTTTCTAACCTTGACAAGTTTTTGAACCACGTATTGGAAGTGTATCCACTTTATTTCCTTGTTTTTTTATAACATATTTTTACTTTATACTGACTGTTTGCTGATTGGCTAATATTTCTCAACGTTACTTAAGGTTCGTTCAAAGGTCGTTCATAAATTAGAGTCTCGCCCAGTCAGCCAGTAAATGAAGAGCAATATAGGAATTTGATATGCTTATGCATCGGTATGAGTTGTCATTACCACACTAACATATCTAGATCAAATTGTCGCTATGGATATTGCAGTCGGAGAAGTAATAGTATTTTCAGTGATAATAGAAATGGATTAAAAAGGAAATATAATTTGGTGAGAAAGAATAAATTAGGGGAATGAAAAACAAAATAATATTAGACCCAAATATCTAGGTGAAGATAAGGGGTACATGAGCCTTCGCAAGTGTGGTTGGTTTAAATCAATGTTATTTAATTTCCCTAACATTTAATCATGCGCTTCTATCAAGGTAGTCTTCATCTACCAATATAACTCTGATGCCTGATGATCTGATGCCAGGTTCTGGCTTTGGTAGCCCCCGGATTCCTTTCAAACTACTCCAATTTTACTCAGCATTACTTGTCAACTCAAGTGGTGTTTAGGCATACGTAATACATATCTCAGCTACCTCGGTTGATGTAACTTCACAGTTTGATCAATGGGTTTACTGTCACCCCGTGTTTTACCTCAGTACTGCTCAATAGATCGTAACACCATATGTGATCAATGCTTGAACGACATCTAGAATAATTAATAATGAAAACTTGATTCAAACATCCTTTCTTATTAAATAAAATTACCCTGTAAAAAGTAAAGGTTGTCTTGAGCATGCATGGATTTGTATTAATGGGCGACAATAATGTAGAGAGCTTATTTAGAAATAGAAGTTAAGCTATATTAAGGCTTTTTAACTTCGTTCACGAAGTACAAATTTCGTTTCTATAAACTCACTGGTCAAACAAATTTTGAACACGGAAATCTAAAATGTCGATCACTTTTTAGTCTTATAGAAAGATATCTACCAACCAACTGAGTTAAAAAATTATCATTCGCAAAATGTTATGGAGATATTATTTGTATGACCATGATAGTATTGAAGAAATTAACATACGTCAATGGATAATTGTATGATAACTTATGTTACAGTTAGTTACTTTTGGAAGCTGAATAAATCCCATTGACTACCCTGAAAACTGATTATGTTTAATACAGTATTACGGTTAATTTGATGTTTGAGTGATGAAAACAACGAAAATAAAGTCTGAATAACATATTTAAATGTAATACAAGATCAGTTTGGGAGTGTTTATCTTCCCAAGACTTCGAGTACATCTTATTGATAAATCACAGCAAGCACAACAATAGGTTTAATGCTTCATCATTACTTTGAATAACTAATCAACAAATTAACACTGACATCAAAGTAAAATGGTTACCCCTTAAAAAGTTTTAGTACACTTATGGGTTCGACCTCAGTACCATTCTTTACATCTTTTAAACTGACTAACTTCAAGATGCCCAGTAATAAAAATATTAAAAATCTTATTATTTGATTAGAATGTACCTAAAATATTAGTTGAGTTCATTTGTTCAATCTCAAGAGATTTGTATAATTTTTTGAATACCTGTAATAAATCAAAGTAGATATACAGCACCTAGAAACATGAATAAACTAATCAAACTTAATGGAATCCATGAAAAGTCAATATCATAACATAATTTTATATGACGTATGGTATGGTGAAATTAATGGTCAATTAATAGAAATATTATTCTTATTATTAAATTCACTTGGTATTATTTACTTGAATCTTACCATTGATGTTTAGGACTGAAATTGATCAGCCTCCAATTGGCATATGTGCATACTGTGTGTATTGCCTCTATATTGCCTGAGACTGATCATTTGCAGTCCTAAACATCAATGGGAAGATTCAAGTAAATAATACCAGGTGAAATTAAACTTCACCCCATAGCACAAGCAAGCGGCTATCAGGACTCAGAAGCTAAGTGGATAACACGATGGCGTTTGAAGCGGACGGTACTGAATTCGAGTCCAGGAGTGAACATTAACTCTGAGATGCAGGTACATGCAGCTGATGAGCCCCAGGTGGGACGAAACGCGCGTTCTGGACTCCACTGCTAGCCACTATACATATTTGTTTATATTATTATTAATATTATTAGCTTTATTCAATATAGAATACAGGATACAATATGGAATTCACAGCACAAAGTATTTCAGCAGGTTTCCGTTTCTTACTTCGTGGTCTATCCTGACGATGAATATTGAGTGGTCGCAACTTAGATATTAGCAGTCCAGTAAATCAACATCTAAATAATGTATATTCCTTTCGCTACATACTCCCAGCAACCACAATATCTCGGATTAAGCTTTTTGTAAATTTTACGACGAAAAGTTGTACACTTTTCAGAAAGGCACCTGAATAGGTTATGCGATTAGTAACCATAATGATGTATTAAGACAAACGAAATTAGATAAATTGTTAATATATCTAGATGGCAGGAACAGGTAGCCGAGATGTTCAAGCAGGCCATCATACTTAGTGATACAACATTTTTAATGAACTATTTACTACATTAAATTTTGATAAGTAATTGTTAATATCTTTATTATTGATAGTTTCATTCTATATTATATTTTGGTACAATATAGGATTCTCAGCACGAAGTACTTCAACAATTTTCTCTTAGAAAAACAATAAAAACGAAAAGAAAATGGTGAAAAAAGATTCAAATCTGTACATTTCAAATTACAGACATGTTTAAGAACACAGGTTACTGACTAGGTTAACTCTAACAACCTGTTCGTCACAGAGTTTATTTCTTAGGTGAGGTAATACTGAACTTTTATACTTTTGCTTGCGTGCATGAATTTTAATGTAATTACCTCTCGTTCTACCAGAAGATATACAAGGAGAAAGATATGAGTGAAGGGGATGGTTAGTATCTGATAAGATAACACCTACCAGGAGTTTGCAAAACTTTGGATGTCTATCCACAACCATATTACTTATCAAGTCTCTCATATACTGAGGAAGACAACAATCTATCAATAAAAATGAATAAACTAGCAGGAATTAACAACTACATACATTGAATTATGACTCAATAATCGAAATTTATCTTAAAACCTTTGTCATCTAAAGATTTTATGCTTCATCCAATGTGAAATAGGAATATTCTGTATTTGGGTTCAAAATTAAAACTAAACAGCTATTCATTGTTCTATGATTTTAAATAGTCAGAGACAAGAGATAAACAGGTAATGAAAATTCAATATTTTGTTTTTCAATAAAACTATAAACAACTAAATACGAAGTAAAAAATAAATAAATTGGACATGAAACTGACTAATCTAAGAAATAAAAACAATATATTTGTAATGTCCCAAAAAGTAGAAAAATCAGATTGTCTGACGTTTCGTCACTGATTATAAGCCATTTCTTCAAAAATTAAATAACTAAATCAAAATTAATCCAAGTTTAAATAGCACAACGCAACAGCAAGAATATTAACTATTATTTATTTCAATAGTTGAAATCATGAGTTAATTGAAGCTAGACCATCATGGAAAACCTGGAGGCACTGGACGGCCGTTTCGTCCTAGTATGAGAATTCTCGGCAGTGCGCATCCACGATTCCGCCCCCCGCGAAATTCGAACCCAGGACCTATCAGTCTCTCGCGCGAGCGCTTAACTATTAGACCATTGACCCGGCATCCAACGATGTTAATTTCTAACTTCAACGAATCCACGAATACCGCGGAGAGCGGGATTGTGTATACGCACTGCTGAGGAGTTCCACAATAGGACGAAACAGCCGTCCAGTGCTTCCAGGTTTTCCATGATGGTCTAGCTTCAATTAACTCACGATTTTAACTATTTAAATTTCTAAAAAATCTCCACAACACCCCTTCTATTATTTATCTGTTATTAATATTTTATATTATCTGTCATTTAATTTCTAAGTGACAAAACGTCAGAAAATTTAATTTTTCTACTCAGTTGGATATTAAAAATATTAAAACACGAAGTTCAGCGAAGGGATCTCTTTTTCCACAAATTTATTATCAAACTGTACGATCATATATGTATGAAAATGTTTTATTAAGGTACTAATTCCGTGAGGAAATGTGAACACAATTAACCATGACGTAATAAAAAGATTATGATACTAGATTATGTAATACGAATAATAACAATAGATTTAGATTTAGTGAATGTAATAAGATGATTAAAATGTTTTTATTACAATGAATAAAGGTCACAGAGGTGTAAGAAATAAATAAGGTGATATGATGAGCATTTACAAATAAAATAATGAGAATATCAGACATAAGTAAAGGGGAAGTGCAGTAATAATAATAATAATAATAATAATAATAATAATAATAATAATAATAATAATAATAATAATGGGATAATCAAAATAATTAAGGCTAAGTTAACGATAACGATAAGACGTACTTCTTTTGTGCACATAGTTCTGGTTTAACCTCCTGGATGGTAAGAGGTTCGGGGTTGACATTAAGCCCACGGCAATTAAGATTCCCTACCACCCATTTCTAAAAAATTGTATGGTGTGAAAGAAAAATGTAGCGATCGGTGATTGGGGTACTCGTTTTGCAAGTGTGTGCTCAAGTGATAATGAATGAACATTTTGTCACCACAATTGATTGATCACTGGGTGGTGATCAATGTCATGCTTGTCTAGTCCTTATTAGTGCAGATCGAATGCTATCGATCATGTTGCAATGTGGCCACCAGTCTAGGTGACTCGACACTGCTGGCACTATGTATTGAGATTTAGATGGTGGTTGGAGGTAGTCAACAGGAAACCCTGGAGCTGGGTTTCGTGCTACTTGGCATTCGTCAGCAAGGTGTACCTGTAATCTTGAGGGAACTGGTGCTCCCTGGCGGATTCGATCTCGTGTCACCCAGCTTCACAGTCACAGACGTTACCACTGAGCTATCCGAGCCGTGACTAACCTCCTGTGGCTACATTGCAACAGGTACACCTTGCTGACGAGTGCCAAGTAGCACGAAACCCGGGTCCAGGGTTTCCTGTTGACTACCTCCAACCACCATCTAAATCTCAACATTTTGTCACCTTTAATCATTTTGTAATTGGTCGTAAACTGTTCATCTTTGTGATCTGATTAGTTGAAATCGAAATCGCATCAAGTGCTGTGATTGGATGTCAGAATTTTGATTTTTACATTTGAAATTTAACGATAGTGAATAAATCTTTTTGTGTAATCTTAGTCTTATAAGAAATTTAGACATTTTAAGAAAAAAACACCAACTTATGTGCAATCCTACTGTTAGTGAATGTGTATTGGGATAAATTTTTGATTTCCTATCAAGTGATTTAATATCACGAGTACTTATATGTATGTTGGTTGACCGTTGGAAGAACGACAGGAATCGAGAAATTAAAGTCGATGTTTCGCGACTTATAAATGCAATACAAACGGGTATCGCCTTCAAATTCATATCAAGGGCTACGACCTGATATAAATAGATATTCTCGTTATTCGTCTTGTATGTTCCGTCCAAACCAATAACATCACCGAAACGATCTGCAAAAATCTTTTGATCACCAGTGGTGAAGAAAAAGTACGATAGACAGTTCTCATCGTCTAATTCGTATTCGCATCGCCCACCCAAAGATGTTATGTGCGCTTTCAATTTTCCGTAATCACCTATCGTTTACATTATAAATTGGCAAATGGCTTACTAGGAATGTTCGCCTTTGAGAACACTTTGTACCGCATATTATAGATATCTTGGTCATCCAGTAGTTTCCCATAAGAATGGTAAGCATAATTCTTAATGTGGAATGAAGCAGTACCAGATATTGGCAGCGGTCGCACATTTTCAAACTGGGCCTCTGTTAACCTGCGCACCTACGAATTTCCTTGGTACCTTAGGGAATTGCACTCGTGATTGTGATGCACATTCCCACGTACAACAGTCCAGTAGCCGTCGATAATCTTACAATACATGAAGGCCGGACATTGAGTGTCCATGGAAGCCCTTCATGACAAAAAATGTTAATAACATTTATAAAATTACCTCCTCCGTCTGATCCGCTGTGACGAACCGCTAGATGTTATACGGCCATGTCTCCAGCACACAAATTTAATGTACGAGTTTTCATTTCTGCACAAATGCGAATCTCGAACTACATAATGACAGTAAGTTGATCTTTCATAATTTGTGATAGCGGACTTCAACGCTTCAACCGATGGGAACACAACGAGAAACAAGGTTGTCAAAAAGACTTCCTCCATTTCTGTTACGTGAGAAACAACAGCGTTTGTACTAGGCACGTTACTCTCTTCCATAATGATGATTAAAATGTACTTCGTCGACAAGTACTGATGTTTTATAACAATCCGACAAAACATAACTAACAAATTAAAAACGAACTTTAAAACTAGCCATTTCATTGGACGAAACGGGATGAAAAATATTGCAATTTTGGGTTGAAAAAAACATTTTAAAAAAGGGTGGGTGGGGGGGTTTAAAAAAAATTGCCGTGGGGCTAATGAATTTCCAAACTGTGGATCCGTAGAATGATTACAGTCGATTAGGTGTTCAGGTATAGAATTAGTACTTTTACAAAAAACAAAAAAAAATTTTCATACATATACGATTGTACAGCTTGATAATAAATTCGTTGAAAAGAGATCCTTTCGCTGAATTTCGTGTTTCAATTTTAATGTTTAAATGTTCAAATCAAATCTTGATAATCATAATCATAATAATAATACTTACTAATCTATAATACGTTTTTCATAATGATCATTATCAACTTTTAATTGTGTTTCATTCATTTTAATTTTATAAAACTGTTCTGATTTTCCATTGAATAATTGATTTAATATATTATAATCATTATTTAATTTACCATTGAATTGACTAATTAAATTTTCTTCATTTTTTTTAATCCATAATAATAAATTATCTAATATATATTGTTTATTTATAGAATTTTTATCTAATTCAATTAATTGTTGTTTTAATTCATTCATAATTTGTTGATTTTGTTTTAATGTTTCAGTTAATGTTTGAATTTGTAATTTTAATGATTCAATTTTATTTTTCATATTTATTGTTTCTTGTATAAGTATTGGTTCAATATCTATAGCTTCTTTTAATTTAGTTCTATTCAATGAAGAGAGAGGGAATAAAACAATTATGATCAATAATGAAAAATAAAATCAATGAAATGGAATGGTTATCTAGTGCTTTCAGGTTTTCCATGGTGATTTAGCTTCAATTGACTCATGATCTCAATTATTAAAAAAAATTACTATAATATTAATCAACATATGCTCACTAGTGAATGGCTTCATGATGGATATCTTGGAGTTCTAATAAGAAGCACTTACCAGTAGAGTTTAACCAGTTCTGTTGTAAGATAGTAACTCACTGAAGACAACGGTGGATGTATCGCTCAATTTTGTGGATTAGTTGGAGACAGACATTAACACCATTGGATGCCGGCTAGTTCAGTGGTCTAGTGCTTAAGCGCTCGCGCTTGAGACTGATAGTTCCTGGGTTCGAATCCCGCGAGGGCGAGTTCGTGGATGTGCACTGCTTAGGAGTCCCACCAAAGGACGAGACGGCCGTGCAGTGCCTCCAGGTTTTTCATGGTGATCTAGCTTTAACTGACTTATGAACTCAACTATTAGAAAATTACTATAATACCCACAAAAACCGCTTCTGATATGAATGATATTATCAATAAAAAAAGTGAAAAAATCGAAACGCCGAAACTTTAATTATCTAAAATAATAAAAATATGTTGAAAATAAACATAAATCTAATTGCAAAATTCTCTAAATATTTTAACTAAATAAATGTATATAAAGTTAGTAATTTATAGAGTAGATGGATTAGTAATGGAAAGTAGAGGCCATGTGTTTTTTTTGTTGATTGGCGCTTTCCAACTGAAAATACTTGCATTCACGTATTGATGTTGTAACACCAATACGTACTTACGAAGTTCTACGTTGTTACTGACTGACTGACTGATTGATGTTTGAATCGATACTGGAAAACCATTGCTTTTCGCTTCAAATATACATCTGAGCTAATTAGTTTAAATAACCATACACTTTTGTAATGGGTTTGTAATGTACATAATTAATAGATAGCTATTGTTATTTGTAAATTTGTTTTGGAATTGATGATCTGTATGAATTCACTTACCTGTACACATTTGGTTACCAATATCTTATCATTTCATATAAATAATATTAATAATAAACTCGTAAGAAGTTAAAAATATTAACTACTATATGGAATTTTGGTTGAATATTTTTCAAATAGTCAACTGAATTCTGTGATTCGTATTTCCCAGGTAATGATTTTTCATGGTTTGTTTTATGACTTAAAATTATGTCGTTATTTCAAAGACCAATTTTTAAATATAAAGAAACCTAAGCAGCTTAGCTCAAGTTAGCAGTTCTACAGATCTATAAATCAGTGAATGCCAATTCAAAGAAGTTAGAAATAGAGGAAGCTTCATCATCATATCTAAATACATAAATCAAAATCAAGACTAGGAAAATAGAATTAAGTTCAGTTCCCAGACTCTAGCTAATATCTCGGTCAATCTAATAGCTATAATTGGATCACCATCCCCAAAGATCTCAAGAATTAATATGTTGTGGCCTGCTACTCTCCATCGTTCTAGATTGTATTTATTTATCTTCTTAACATTAAGCCTCTAAATATTCACCACAAACAATAAGAACATACACAAAACGACGATCAAAACAGATATTATTTGATCTTCATGGGATCTATCCAACAATCCAAGAAACATATGTAGGATTAATAAAGCGAAAGTTAAGGACAATTCATGAAAGTAGGATTCGCTTTTTAATGACACCGTGATGCGTGCTACTTATATTGATATAAGTAGTATATGACGCGAGTCAGGAATGTAATGTCTGGCGGCAGAAGATGGGGAAAATAAAAAAAGAAAGAGCGGGAATAGAAAGCAATTAGTATGGAAATGCAAGAACAACGAAGTTCGAGATAATTATTGAACATTTTGCAAATTAAGTATTATAGTATGGTTTTTCTATTTTATGAAGTAACTCTGTAATCGTGTGCTGCATATAATTCGGTTGTCCTCACCTGTGTTCTCCTTCACTACAGCACTACTTTCCAAAGTTATAATTTTGTGTTTATTTCGACGAGTCAAAATATTATTAATAATTGAACGGTTTTCAGTCATGAGAAAATGGGTTAGTGAGCCATAGTACATTATCATCTTGTAAACAGAACGAAATAGAATGACAATAAGCAGACCAATTTCGGTGACGAGGAAAGTGTACACTTTCACACGGCTCGACGTCATTAAATAGTAAATAAAGAAGGAAACTTGCAATACAAAAATAGGATATTATGACATTGTTTATGATTCTGATGAGATGATGATCAAACTATGCTTTCCAACAGAGAATGTAATTGTTAATTATCGTCTAGATAAGTGGATATATTAATCTTTAGAAATCGGTTTGAAAAAACATAGCTTTTGGGATTTATATCAACAGTTTCACAGTAGTATCTGAACTGGTGGACACATATAAAGGTTACCTTTCTAGTCAATTACATTTCTTATACCAAACAGTAGGAACCTTTTGTATCCATTTAGCCTAAGACCAAAAAGTATAATACATAACTTACTGAGCATCAGTTAAATTTTGTTCAGCTTTGCGAACATCGTTAGCTAAATTCCCTCGAATCTCTTCAGATTTTTGTTTCACAGCATTATAATGTATTTGTGTTTCGTTTAACTTAGCATTCGCTTTTGCGAGTGTTTCTAATGCCTTAAATTTATTAATAATTAAAAGAAATAAAGTCCGGATCAATAACATTTACAAAATCTATGAGAAAAAATAAAAATAGCTGGTTAAGGTTTTAAATTTGTACTACTGGACCCCAACTTATTGGTTTTTGAATGTTATGAGGTCCAATCGTTGACAAAATCCTGCACCGGTTCTATTGTAGAGTCACATACTAAAAAAAAACAGCTGTTCAGTGCTTTCTGGTTTTCAGTGGTTGTTTAACTAAAACCAATTCTTAGCGTAAGAATACAACCTGGACACAAACTCCTAAATTCTTACCACTGTTAAAATAATAATAATAGTTAAATAATCTAATTGTATTACCATGGTGATTGATCTATTGTTATCCTATCCTCCTTTCCAAATATTGTCTAAGATTTATATCAACTTTTGTTTATTTAACTTATAACTTTTAAAACATAATTCACCCCTCATACCACATTTTATTTAATTGTACCAACATCTTTATTGTTCATTTTGTAATTCATTCAAAATTTCACACTATAAGATTATAGTTTGGTTTATCAGGTCGTTTCGATTTTGTGCTTGAGTCGATGTCTGTAATGTTTAATTGCTTTCATTAATAAAAGTTGATTTTACATGCTTACAGAGTTGTCGGATCATATTTTATCTTGTATTTCTTTCTTCTAGACTTTCACGAACACGCCGATCTTCACACATCTCCAGTATACAACTTGCCTTCAGGTTAGATGCTACCTCTAACCTTTATAAATATAACGAGAATGTTAAAATGCCAAAAACGTCACAGTGACTAGACGTAAATTGGTGAAAGTTAGAAAGTTATAGTGTTAGTCAAATTTTTATTTCTAATGTACAGTTAATTTATTATCGTTTGTCTAGTCATTTTTAACACTGTTCAATGAAACGCTTGAACCTGTAAATCAATTTAGCTGTCAAAGTCATTGCATACGTGCCTCGACTATCATTATTATTAATATGCTAAATTAATTTACGGATCTTACAATTCACATTTGAAAAACACTTTATTCAGTATTATAGATAAGTGTGTACGTGAGGGATTTAGAGCAAACAAGATGAAATAAAATCACTTCATCACACAATATTTTTTGTTGTTGGATAAAAAACGTTTATCGTAAAACTTGACTTATTAAATTTATGTTTATTAATATTAAGTAAGAAATAAAGTGCTTGTTAAGAACTCCACTTTTCCTATAATTTATCTTTAAGCAAGTATTCAGTGCTGTTCAAATAGTAGCATATACTGATAAACCTTAACAACTAAATAGTATATATATATATATATATATATATATATATATATATATATATATATATATATATATATATATATATATATATATAGGCTTACGTAATTTATTGTTTAAAATTGCTCTTATTATCTTTATGAAGTAACATAAACGCAATAAATTAGAATTTGATTAACACAGGTTAACTTACTTTAGTTGTTCGATCGATAATTCCCTTAAGTTCTGCCTCTGTAATTAAAGATTTTTCATTCACCAGATTTCTAAAATGAGAATTTATATACATTTATATACAACAATCTATATGCTATTTCTCAGGACTCTGTATTATCAACGCCGAACTAATGCAACTGTATATCTTTGCATTTGACCCAACCACATATATATGATTGATGACCTTAACCACACGAATAATTCACTTACAATAGGCATGAAAGACTTGTATCCTTCACCTACTAGGTGGTCTTGCAGTGTCATATGATTTTTCAGAGTTTGAAGCAGAATCTATTCGGTCCAGAATTACCTGGAATATCAACACCACTTGTATAATTAGTCTCTTTCTTTGGAATCAAATGTGTATCGGTTGTTGTGAGAATATATCATCCAGTTATTCCTTTATAAAATCAAATTTTATTAATAAATGACAAAAATAACTGGATCTGAGGATGTTTATATATTACTTTTTTAAAATTGTGTTTTTTAAACATATAACCAATTCATCAGTTATTAATCTCACACTTGTAATTTAATATTTATGACATCTGTGTTTTAGTAAGTAGAAACTAAGTAACCAAAAAATGTAAATAATTCTCCTTTGTCCCAATCTGCTGCTATTAAACTGTTAACGTTAAAAAAGAAGTTAATTTATGGTTTACACCTTCCAAAGTTGTTACTGAATTTAGAACTTAATATCAAAATCGTAACATCATTCCATTTAAAATGTAGACTGTATAAACATTAGGTACAATTTAAAATGTATTAGCAGTTTTAAAGTAATTTTCCAATTATACTCTTGAAAGTCACAGTATGTAAATCTTTTTTGTTCATAAGGATAAACTTAGAAATAAAGCCTTGTAAATTGGGATTTTTACTTAAGAAACAACGGCGCAGTAAGTTTTTTAAGGCTTAGTAATGGTTAATATCAGCATAGAACTACAAATATAATACTTCGATCTTTTCTTCGTAAACGATATGGATTAACGTTAATTTTCAATTAAATATGATCAGTGTTCAGTAATCGAGATGGTCAAAAGTAATTGGTTGGACTTTAAACTAATCACACTGATAACAGTTGATGGTGATCGCGTAAAATCATAGATCGGTTGATGTTATCGATTCGCTCTGCGGGATGCTGATTCAGTAGTCTGAAAGCAGTGCTCAAAACGACATATTGATTCCCTGAACTCGGCCCCTGATGGATTAATGAATAAGCACTGATGAAGAGTCTCCATCAAGAATGAAAATTATTGGAAGCTTCGGGTTTACAATGGTTATTTGGCTTAAGGTGGTTCAGGATTTCGACAACAAGCTGCACGTTAGTCATATATCTTCTTATTGAATAAGATACAAGCCTCTTCGAATGCAACAGACTTTTAAGAAAGTCTCTTAAATACATCTGTAAATCTAGACAATCCGTTGTGAAAAATATAAGGATCATCTTGATTAAAATACAAAGTTTTTCCGAATATGAGCTCATGTCAGAAGAAAATGTCATCAAACATTCGAATATGGTTTCTAGCCAGCTTGTATTTTTTCCAAGGGTTATTTTGATAATCTTAATATGAAGCCACTTATCAATATATCAGTTTATGTTTTGATAACTTTCCATGAAAGAGCGTGGTTAGTACTCGTGAAAACGGATTGTTTATATATATATATATATATATATATATATATATATACAATAAACAGTGAGTGCTTACGTGCATCCAGTCAGTTGTGAAATCTCACTTTCAATATACTTTTTTGATGCGGTTAGCGATTTCAGTCTATTAAATACTTTATTGTATTCTTCTTGAGTTTTTTTGATATTCCATTTTAAAGCAGTTAGATTGTTAGAAGCCTGATCATGTTCTAGATTTTACAAAAATAAATCGACATTTGATTTACTTGTCAAGAATCATAAACACACTTGAACAAAGTAAGCAACCATTGTTAGTAACGTTCCTAAAATTAGTAGTCGGGTTAATTACAGATTGATCGATCAACAGGTTAGTTAAAGTCGTCAGAAAGCATACAGACTATTATATATATGCATATATTACTTTTATGTTAACCTGACTTTGTTAACTAAGTAGTACTTAGATGCACTTAGTTCGCTGTTTACAATCATTTCACTGTTGTAATGAACGCTATCTAAAATCCATGGGTTGCTTTAATCTTTTTTTAACAAGAATTATGCTTAATTAAGGCTGCGTGATGTTGCATAGGTTAAAGTAATTTTCTATTCATCCACACATAAGGATCTATGATGTGTTTTTCAACATCAAAAAACAAAACAAAAATATGCTTTTAGGTCCGAATTATAGTATGCATTACCCCACCCTCAAACCCAAAGATCCATTATGATGAATAGTTGGCTGAAAAGCTTATATGCTCTGAAACCATGGTAGTAAATAATCTCGTACCAAACCATATGTTTTGAATCTCATTTGTAATCCTGATGAAAAATCAGTGGATTTGCATTCACTTTAACGGTTCGTAATTTAAACTTCGGTCAACTTAGTAAATAGTAAACAGATACTGCCTCACGCATCACAAATCTAATTCAACAGATCATGAGTACTCACTAGAACGTCCTAAAGCTGGTCACTTTTGAGTACACGGTTAACTTTTAGTTCCTAAAAATTTTTATTACTTGAATACAAATATATTACAGCTAGAGAGAATCGGTACTAAATTCCTTTGTTGTTTGTACTGCTGAAGGTCTGTCTATATGTTCAAAATCCAAGGATATTGATATTCCTGTTTATGTTGCTTTTAATAGTGAATAACTAATTATCTTCCATCGTCTTGTCAGCTACCTTGTTTTTAATCATATTTAAGCTCAGAACAATGGCTATTTTTGACACTGTTAGGATTTTTGTTTTGAAATGTCCAAGGCTTGTTGACTCATCTATAAAATAAAGTACACAAGGGTTTTCATATGAGAAAATGTTGTCCGAAATGCTTATTAATGCTTGCAACTACAACGCTGTTAACTGGTGTAAATATTAAATATCCTCCTTTAATGTTGTCAAAAACCAAGTTCTGTGATAGCAAACAACTATAAATTCAATTGATTTCCTTTCTAGAAACATAGGACAAGTTTTTCAAGTACGATATGCCTAAACAATCGATGCAATACATATTATCCTAAGATTCTCAACAAATTGAAATAGAACAAAAAGTTCACTTTCGTAGTGATTGATTGAATTTTCTTATTGATATTAAGGACTGCGAAGTGATTAGTCTCTTATTGTCATATGTGCATCCTGTACGGATTGTCTCAGTAACTCCTTTATCTACAAGCATTGTATGCAGAGATGATGGTGGCTAGCAGTGAAATATAGGACTCTAGGATCTCATTGAATAAGCTAGCGGTTACCTAGACTCAGTAACCAAGTGGATAACGCGATGGAGTTTGAAGCGACAATCACCGGGTTCAAGTCCTGAAGTAAAAATAAACAAATAAACCAACGAACGATTTTTAAGTTATGTTTCAGCCGTGACTAACATCAAATGCTTTCCTTACGGAGAAAAGCACGAAGAAGCTTATTATCATCAAATTCTACTATGATACTCGGTGCCTATGATTACCCATTTCAATCATCAGTATTCAGCACTTTGCTTTTTACTGAACTGGTAATATTTTTTTGCTTATGTTCTGCTATACTAGGTAACTAACAATGTAGACAAGTTTCAATCGATTGGTCACTAGGTGATGATCAATTTGACGCATATCGTACTCTTCTTAGTGCAGATTGAATCCTATCCATCATGTTGCAATGTGGCCACCAGTGAAGGCGATTCGATATCGCTTGCACTAGTTTGAGATGTAGGGTGGTGGTTAGAAGTGATTAACAAGAGACCCTGGATCCAAATTTTGAGCTTTTCGACACTCCAAGGACAGTACTGTGCTGAGGAGTCCCACAAAGCACAAAACCTTGATCCTAAGTTACCTCTCGACTACCTCCAACCACCATCTTACATCTTGATATACATAACTTATAAACCCTTGAATTCACTGGTTAAAATAAACTCAGGCGGGTAAAATTCGTCACTTAAATTCATAGTTTGCCCACTCAATAAGCTCTAAAATTATTATCAGGTGAAATTTCACCTAGATGTATCAGTAATACAGAAACATATGTGAAGATTTTCCTCACTTTTAAGATTATAATTTCTGTACAAATATATTTAATTCAGCACATAGTAGCTGAAAGGTAATAGGGTTTATATGTAAAGTGGTTTTAAGAACCGTGTGACTTTAAAACTGTTGTCAACTCAGTTTTTTTAATTGCATTCCAAATATTTCCACTCTCAAATTATGAAAGCCAGTCACTTCTAACTAAAAAGCGACAGTACTTGGCCGCACTCTGAAAAATGTTTCTTTGAATTTCCAACTAAATAAACATGCATGAGTGGCTGTCTTCTGTAATAAGCACATGATAAAACTTCTATTGGTCGAGCTATACCATTGTGAAAATGTATAGTATTCGGATAATAAAAACGTTATAATGTGCAAACGATGAAGAGCTAAGACACTGGTTTTTCATAATGGTATTTTACATGAGTATAATATAATCTGTCACTTGTGAATGTACACATGTGCACAATAAGCGTACAAGGTAACTTCTAAGGTGCCAAGTGATTACATTAGTTCAGATTTGTAAATCGGTCCAAATAAGTTAGAAATTTAAATTTAAAATACATTTGAATAGTAAAGAGAAGTTTGAAAGTTAACATTATGTGAAAAACTTCGGAATGATAAAAATAAATTTCCGCTAACTCTGAAACTCCATGTTGTCATGCATACAAACTTTACTGATTTCTACCTTCATTGTTTTATTACTTAATGTCTAAAAGATAGGAGTCGTGGCAAATTCTAATAGTTATACAAGGTTGAACCTTAAATGAGTATAATATACCCACAGAAATCGCTCGATAAGTCGTTTTATTTATTACTTGGAAATCATATGACAAGGACAAACACAATACTGTTTTATTGAAGGAATTTGTGTGCTCAAGGTGAATTAAAACGCAACAGAAAGAAAATCACTAACACATATTATTCAAATAACAATCCAGGACATTTCGCGGGAAAATAAAATGCGTTTTTGCGAATTAAAATGTAATAATTACCTTTCTGTACTACAAATGGAATTTCGTTCATGCAGAATCGACCTATTCTGTCAAACTGATTTCCAAGCATATACACAGTTCTACGAATTTCATCTATTTTATTCTCTGTATGGACCAAGTCCAATTCTACTTCTTCAAATATGTCAATCACATTTTTAAGTTTCTTTAATAAATATCAATGTTAAACAACTTTACTTGCAAAAATATTGTGCAGATTGTGTCTGTATTTTTTA